GGGTCTCAGCAGCTGAGAGTGGAGGCTCGTGGCTGATAGGGGACAGGCCAGAAAGAGAACAAGCCTCCAACTCAAGGGAGAATATACACTCAAAACTACTCCCTTCTTCTGTATGCTTCCTTCCAGGAAGGAAGACTGGGACTTTCATCTATAAAGAACGCATACTTTTTTTAATTCAAAAAAAAAAAAAAAAGACCTCACATTTTTAGAAGATGGTATTAAATGGCTGAGTGCTGAGGTATGTCACTTCTACTTCACTTGAACTGCCTGCTAGTCCCAAGGAATTGGGACTTAGAAATGGTGACACAGCGGTGAGGCACCTGTTTTGTGCCTTTAAGGTCTTGAGATGGTCAAAAGAGAAAAAACAGGTGCTGAATCAAAATGTAACAGATAAACTCAGAAAGGGGGACACAGGGAAGGCTTTGTGCAGGGAGCTGGGAGCACACGTGCTTTGTGGCATGGGAGTCGTGAAGGGATCCAGGGCCTTCTTTGAGGAGACCTGACACGCTGGAAAGACAATACCTTTGCCTTATCTATGACACAAGCTTTGTTCCACAGAGCAATAGCATCAACGAGATTGCAGAAAAGATGGGGAGCCATGCAGGCTATTTCTGTCCAGCTTAGCCACACTTTGGACCTCCCACTGCCCCAGATATTGGGCCAATGGGGACAGAACCCAATTTTGGGGACCTGCATCTCCCTGAAAGCAGGAAGCCCTTGCTCCCTCCTATAGCCACAGTGAACCCAGTGGGCGGGAGCCTGAGGCAGCTGGACACAGAGCAGCCAGGTGGCTGTTTACCAAGAGCAGAGTGAATGAATCACTGTGTGTGCACACTTGTCACCACACCCTGCAACTGAGGCAAAGGAGAAAGACAAAGCAGCCATTACCAGTCCCTTTCTGCTCCTCCTGTGGGATAGCACATGACCCTTCTAGAGTTCCCAGAGATGATTTTGAGCTATGTGTTCCTGGGTGTGGGGTGCTGGGAGTTAGCAGGAGGGCAGTGATGGTCTCCCAAATCTCTTTGCTCCTTTCCCCCAGCATGGGGCACAGAATTTGAGGCTGGCCCAGACACACAGATCTGCATTCCATCCCTGTGTCCTGGCTGCTGCCTGCAGAGGCCCAGGACCATTCTGGGCACCTGGCACTCTGTGCTGCTGCGTTTGGAGGAGGACAGGAGTCTCACCTGTCCAGTCTAACCTGCCAGGCACCTCGTTCTCGTGCTTAGGGCAACTGAAACTCTCTTCCTCTTTCAGTGGGACCTAGAGGCGGGGCTGGGTGGGAGGAAGAGCAGTCATTTCACCGCACCCTGGCTGGAGGAGGTATCTACAAACATTCCCAGGATCCAGTGACCCTGGGAGGGTTCACCTGGCCCAGGATGACTGGCCATGTTGGAGGGGGTGCAGGCATGGCAGATGGGCAGCCAGGGTCTGCAGAGTGTCAGCCTTGTCCTTTGTGGCCCTTGTTACTGTGCCTGTGCAGCCCCATCCTGGAATGTGGGGCTGTCAAACTGAGAGGAGACAGATTCTTAACTTGGGTGGTCAATGAGTCTTGGGGACAATGTGCTTTGGCCTGGAGGAGGGGAGGAAGCAACCAGCAAGGCGTGTGGAGGGCTGTGCCCTCACCTCAGGTGAATGTTCAGTTCCTACCTCTGGTGAGCCCAGCCTCATGCCACTGAGGCAATCCTTGCCAGTCATCCAGTGTCAGATGAGAAGGACCTTGCTTTCTCCTTGGGGTAAGGTGGCCTTGCCCTCCTCTACCATCATATCACCTCTGCTTCTGGTAGAAACTCCAACACAGGAGGTCACGGGTGCTCACAATCATTCCTTTCCTGCCCCGTCCCCATCCTTCCCATGAGTGAAGAGATGCTTGTGTCCTACTCAACCTGTGTGGCAGCCCAGCCAGTGTCATTCCTTGCTCTCTTCCAGGTGGGAGCAGAACTAGAAATGTAAGTGTAGGAGTAAGAGGGGAGACCAGAGCAGAAAAAAACTTCCCCCCAGGCCTAGTTCTGAGGCCTAGATGGGATGCCGTGGGGGCACTGGTAGGCAGGGCAGCCAAGAGAAAAATGCCTTACTTAATTCAGTAGCAACTGAGAACAGACACCACGGATGGGCAAGGGGAGGGGAGACTGGGGCGAGAAGCAGACAGTGCCCAGGTGAAAAGGAATGGAGGACCTGGCTGTGGCCTGTCACACTCTTGTGCTCAGTGCTTGCTGGTCTGGTGACCAAGCACAGCCAAATGCTGTCATTGCTCAAAGCCCTCTGAAGGCTGGTTCACCCAGGTCTAACACTGTGTGAGGAACTTTGTAGCCTGGTGTTTTTATCTGCATGACTTGGCCTAGCTTGACTGTCTTATCTCCTCCACCCACCCCTGGTGCCTTCCTGAAATATCCTTTATTCCAGCCATAATGGGGTAGCCGTAGCCCCTAAAACATGCCATGACTCTGAAGCCCCACACATTTGCTTAGGCTGTTCAGTTCTCTCCTCCTGAGATGCTATTCCCCTGTGCTCCTACAGACCAGCTCAGTGTCCTAAAACCTACTTGCTTAAAGTCATCACTCTCCCCTCAAAACACCCAAAGCCGTTTATGAATATAATACTTCCTTATATTATCATGGTGTGCTTTGGAAGCAAGTCTTATTCACCTTTGTGTTCCCTAAAGCACCCACCACGTGTCTGGTCCAAAGTCAGTTCTCAATAAACCTTTTTTTTTTTTTCTTTGGCAGTACTGGGATTTGAATTCAAGGACTTACCCTTGCTAGGCAGGTGCTCTACCACTTGAGCCATTCCGCCAGCCCTGTTTTTCTGTTGGGTATTTTCCAGATGGAATCTTGTGAACTATTTGCCAGGGCTGGCCTCAACTCTCAATCCTCCTGATCTCTGCCTCCCAAGTAGCTAGGATTACACCTGGCTCACTAAATCCTCATGGAAATGAATTGAGCCAAAAGGTTGAACGAAGCTAATGAATGGATCCTTAAGAGGGGAAAATGGTACCGAAAACAGCAGTTCTATTAAAATGTCCTGATGTCCCCCTCCTTACCCCTATTAAATAGTTACAACTCACTAAATAGACTTTTGCCACCCACTAGCTGTCCCCAGTTGCAAAACCTGAGACATAATGCCTGTCTTCTAATTTCCTGTATGGTCAACGGAAACACTATGTATTCATGGTTGGCCAGCATAAACTACAAACGGTTCAAGTCAAGAGCATCTCCTGAGTGCTCAGTGTGTAGCCAGGTTTCTGCTAGCGGCTATGAAGGACACAAATTGAGGAAGTCATTGCCTGGTCTCTGTCCTCAAGGCAGGTATAGGAAGTCAAAGGTTGGAGAAATTTGAGGAAAGTCTTGCAGTGGGGAGGATTTGGGTAGGCAGAGAGAATAGCAAAGGCAACCAAGGGGACAATGAAGTGAGTGACCACCTGGAGAGAAAGGGATTATCTAGGTTGCAGGTTTGTTTGTTTAGGATGTAGAGGAGAACAGTTAGGATAGGACCCAAAGAGGAAATCTCTAAGTGTGAAGCTAATGTGTTAGTGGTGAGGCAACATGGTAGGATTTCCAGCAGATTAGTGAAGTGCAGGGTGGAGGGATGGAGGAGAGCCTAGAGGTCACAGGGTAAACCAGGTCAGGTAGCATTCAACACTGGGATTCTGAGTGTATGGGAGTGTCCAGGCAGTGGCTCAAGTCTGTAATTCTAGTTACTTTGGAGGTAGTGATCAGGAGGATAGTAGTTTAAGGCCAGCCTGGGCAAGGCCAACCCAAGTGAAAAGTTCTCAAGACCCCATCTCAACCAGAGGCTGCACATGGTAGCATGAGCTTGTCATTCAAGCACAAATAAGAGGATCATGGTTGAGGTCCACCATACATAAAGGGACACCTTATCTCAAAAATAACCAATGCAAAAAAGGCTGCTGGAGGGTGGCTCAAGTGGTAGAGGGCCTGCCTAGCAAGCACAAAGCCCTGAGTTCAAACCCCAGTACTGTAGAACAAAAGAACTGCAGTAAACTCTAGGGAGTTCTAGTCACTGGGAGTTCTAGTCTCAGATCTGCTGTGGGACCTTGACTTCTCTGTTCTGGAGCTTTCTGTAACTGTGAAACTTAAAAGCCTTCAGAGTGACCTTTCCAAGCAGACGAAACCAAGGTGGAGGAGTGGAGCCTTTGGACTAGGACCTGAAAAATGAAGGAAAACAGCCAATCTATAGGTACTTGGAACAAGGAAGAGGCTGATAGGGAGCCTAGAGCTGAAGCCCAGGGGAGAGAGTGAAGCGAGTTTAGCGCGGGCATAATGGGGAACTGAGGGGGCTGGGGCCACCACTGGTCCTGACGTTCGATTTGGCAATCCCATTTCCAGTTCCCCCTTTCTTCTTTTCCTAACTTAGCCTCACTTTATTTGGTGAGGGCAGGGCAAAATAGGGCTCTCCCTCACGTATCGCACGCCCCTCCTCTAACCTTCCCCTTTTCAGGCGCTCACAAGATTCTCACTTCCCGGCACCTGCCTCCCCCCAGAGCCACACACCCAGCGGGCTAACGCAGCAAGAGCCCTGAACCGGGGTCATATTCATTAACAGTCTCTTAAACACCCTTCCGCGTGCCAGGCACAGTGCTAAAAAGATCAATGCATTATTTTTCGTTTACAGCAATTCTAGCTGGTAACTGTTATCTCATTTTACGAATGAAGAAACTGAGACTCAGTGACGTTGAGTAATCTACACATCACACACCTGTCACTTGGCGATGCTTCAGACAGTTCGTGCTGGACCGTGCGACCTTTGGCAGCTGGAGACCTCAGCCCTCTTCGCGGCCTCTCAGATCACAATTCTCCAAGCCAGGTCCCTGCCCACGTGACCTCCCCGCCCCCCCGGCGCCCGGGAGGCCGCTCCGAGCTGACAGGTTGGGGCGGGAGGCGCGGGCAGGGGGCGGGCCTTGGTGGGGGCGGGGCGGGGCGGGGGCGGGGCCGGAAGCCTTAAAGTAGCCGGGGCGGCGGGGCTGGACATACTGGCCGCGGGCTGCTGCTACCTTCTGGCGTTGGACCCGGCCGCGGCGTCGTCACCATGTCCCTGGCGGCCTCGGCGGGCCGGGGCCCTGGGGCCATGTGGTCCCCAACTCACGTACAGGTGACGGTGCTGCAAGCGCGGGGTCTGCGGGCCAAGGGCCCCGGGGGCACGAGCGACGCGTACGCGGTGATCCAGGTGGGCAAGGAGAAGTACGCCACCTCGGTGTCGGAACGCAGCCTGGGCGCGCCGGTGTGGCGAGAGGAGGCCACCTTCGAGCTGCCGCCGCTGCTGTCCGCCGGGGCCGTGCCCGCGGCCGCCGCCACCCTGCAGCTCACCGTGCTGCACCGCGCGCTGCTCGGCCTCGACAAGTTCCTGGGCCGCGCCGAGGTGGACCTGCGGGAGCTGCACCGGGACCAGGGCCGTAGGAAGACGCAGTGAGTGCCGGCCGGGGGAGGGGGCGCTGGGACCCCGAGGGCCGAGCGTGGCGGTCAGGGCGCTGTGGGGATCCAGGCCTTGGGAGAGGCCCCCCTCCCCTGGCAGTCTCACCTAGCTTCAGCTTAGCTGGGCTGTGGAAGTCTTAAAGGTTTTTGAAAGCAGGAGAGGTTTGGAATCTGCGGGGCGCCTCTCAGTGCCCCGCACACTGTAAGCACTAAGTGAATCTTTGGTGAATTGAAAGGATACGTGGGCAGGCGAATTCTTCTTCGGGTGGGTAGTGTGTCTCTGATAACACTCCCTAACTCGTGTGGAGGGCCTCCTGGGTATTTTAGTGAGCTGAGAACGACTGAGCTCAGGGAAATTAACTGGAGGACTGATACCCCTCGACGCCCCCAGAGCAGGGCCATTATGGTGGGGCTGGCTGGAGGAGGGGGTGGGGACAGGAAAGGGGAAATGCCCACTGCTTGTGATTGCTAACTCCCATCCCTACCAGAGTTGGCCCCTCCCAGAATAACTAGAACAAATTAGTAAGGATTTCCTAGTGATGGATGATTTGGGGCCCGCCCTTGGCTGGACAGAACTGGGCATTGTTCCTATTTGGAGTTTGTCCGGCTCTTCTCCTCTCTTCCTCACCCCCACCTCCTGGCGTGTGGTGACTCACCTGTTGCTCTCCAGTGAAGGGTTCTCTGTCACGCCGTCTCACATCCCAGGAAAGCTGGGCAAAACGCAGTTCACTGTACAGTATTACTGATTTATTTGCTGTCATTCCCAGGTGTTTGGAAAGGGCAGTGCTTAACCCATGGAACATCTGATTGAGTTTATCTAGTGTACCAAGCTAGTCCTGATTAGTCTAATTGGTTACTTTGCTTGACCTTACAGATGCCAGCCAGTCCTAAGCCTTACAGTTTACGAAGTACACTGATTCAATTGGTATGTTTTAGATAAGTCAGAGTATTTTAGCTTTTCCTTGTGAGGGAGACAGGAAAAACCACAGGGTTCAGTAGTACTTTAGGGTGGGTTCAGTTTCAGTGTGTATGTTTGCAAATGGAATATCTGATTTACTTATCTGGCCACACATGAATAGGCATTTCTGAATTCAAGTCAGATAAAAATGGAGAGTTTTGATGTGAGGATAGATGAGGTATCTCATAGCATCAACTTACAAGCCAAAGGAGAGCTGTGTCTTTGCTAAAGAGGGGCTTCACAATGCTAATTGTCCATCTGATTAAATGACATTGGGGACCTTGGGATGTTGGCTGTTAATCATCCTTTGTCTTGTCCCATCCCAAGACATATGGATGTTCACTTCTGTCTCTACCATCTGTTTCTTATGTGAATATTTAATTTCCTTGAAAGATAGCTCACATCTCCTACTAGAGGTGGGGGTTCCAGAGAACTGGGTCTGGTGTCCATTGTGGTTCTGACTCATTGTTGGGTTGCCCTGGCTCTAAACATCTCAGTTTCCCTATTTATAAATGGAGCATATTGCCAGATTTAATTGATGTTTGTAAGGTGTTTTGGGTTCCTGGACTCATGAAGCCAGTATAAAGATTCAAAAGGTTCTGTATTGCTTTGCGAGAGATGAAAACCTCCTTTGGCTCTTTCAGGGTTCAGTCTCTGCATCTTCATTTTTCTCATTTCCCTCAAGGTAATCCTAAACCTACATGGTCACTTCTGTTTCTATTACATGTTTCTATTACCACTTAGTCATGGTATTGACTTGTAGGAAAATTATGCTTAGTTAATGGGTTTTTATAACTTCAGTGGAAGATTTCTTTGCTTCTCTATGAGTAGTGAAATCTTGAGGTTTCCACCTACCACTTCCAGGGACTTTCCAAAGAGATGGTGGAACCCAGTTAAACCAAGGTCACCTGATGCCCTGGTATATCACAGGATGCCTAAGATATCTGAGATTTGGAGAATAAGACATGTTCCAAGAGATGGAAGTTTTAACAGAAAGAAACTGGTTGGGCTAGAAAACTCATTTGAACTAGTTATTAATGGTTTGATTCCACCTCAGACACTGAAAACCTAAAACAAAACAAAAGCTAAAATCCTGGCCTATAGTGTGTGTGTGAATCTCTAGCAAAGAAGAGTTGTTTCAACAGAGTAGGACTTTCGTCATGGGTCTAGATGCTGAAACTCAAGAGCCATTAGAGTATGAAGAGCCAACTGTGCTAATATTTCCATTTATTCTTAATAAGGTTCCACCTATCAAATTTCTTTGGAGTCAAGAGAATGTGCTTTTTATCATGACTTCAAGTTTAGTGTGATGACACACATCTTTAAAACACCAAACCAGCTGACAGATAGGATACACTTAATAGGGAGGAGTGGTGACTTTTAGTAAGGAAGAATTGAAACAAACTGATTTTTGCACTTCTGCATCTGTTAAAAACCAGGGTCTCAGTGTATCTTGCTAAAGTGGGGAGTCAGTTAAGTACCTGGACCATAAACCTATATATATCAAGGGAATCTGGTTGTATGTGGAAGGATTTGGATAATATAAAAGGTAGATATTTTGAAGAAATGTAAGTGTATTAAAATGCTGAAATAAGTTGTCAGTGGAAAAAATCTGAGTTATTTAAAAGAAATAAGGGCTAGGCGATTGCTTTCTGGGAGAGTTAGATTCAGAGAAATGGCTTAGATGGCCATAGAGATCTATAATACCCAAATTTAAGCAATTGGGTTTATGCTTATACCCTTAGGCCTTCTATACACATTTAGATTTTTTGTAATAGGTTGGAAAATTCAAGCAGTGTTGTTGGTTAAGTTTTTTCTTTCTTGGAATTTCCCTTAAAGATAATATTGGGCCTTCCTGGAAACCCTCCTACCTCTCAGGCCCCTCCCACTTCAGTGTAGGAAACTGAGCTCAGAGCTCAGAACTGCATTCTTCATAGGTTCTGGGATAAACAACTCTACCTTACTATTGTAATGGAATGCAATGACTAAAAGGGGAGAGTATGTCAAAGTCATCATTACTTGATGTGGAAGAGGTTTCTCATGTTTTTTTGATGGGTTGCTTGTGATTTCATTTGTAAGAAATACAGTCAATATGGAGCAACTTTTGTTTTCCCCTTTTCATCCATAAAGTGCGTTCATTCTTTCAGTAAATATTTTCTAATACCTACTATGTGCTATGTGCTGGGTGTGCGGTGTAAACAATGGTGGACAAGACAGGAATGATCTATGCTTTTGAGAAGCTCATGCCTTTGGGGGGAGTAGACCTTAAACAAATGGACACAAACATAAATAACCATGTATTGTGATAAGTAATGTGGAGGAAAAAGAACGGGTTCTCATAAAAGAAAAGAACAGGAAGAGCATGATTTAAAGAAGATTGCAAAGTGGGGTGTGGTGGCTGGTGCTTGTAGTCCCAGTTACTGTGAAGGCTGAGGCAAGATGATCACTTGAGCTCAGGAGTTCAAGGCTAGTCTGGGCAACATGGTGAGACCCTGCTCATGTAACAACAATAATAGTGATAATAATAGAAAGGAGATTGCAGATAGCCTCTGAGGCAGATACCTGAAGAATAAAAAAGAAATTCTTCTAGTAAGGAGTGAAGAAAGGGGGCTGATGAAAGAGGAGCAGCTTGTGCAAAGGCCAGGAGGTGAGAGCATTAGGAAAGCTGGAGGATTGTGATTGTGTAGGATTAGGCTGAAGAAAGGGATGGCTTTATTTTTATTTATGTATTTTAGCACTACTGGAGTTTGAACTTGACCTCAGGCTTGCTAGGTAGGCACTTTATCACTTGAGCCACACCCCCACCTCATTTTTTGCTTTTGTTCTGCCCTTTCCCTCTTGGGATCTCACAAGATTTTACCCGGGGTGGGCCTTAGACCTTTATCTTCCAGTCTATACCTCCTGAGTGACTGGGATTACAGGAATGTACCATCACACTCAGCTCAGAGATGGCTTTACTTGAGGAGAATAGGAAGCCACTGAGTATTCAAAGCAGAGGGGTGGCATGATCTAATTTGTCAATGATCACTGTGGTAGTGAATGGCGAATGGATTTGAATCTGGCCTATTGTAGAATCAGGCAAACCAAAGTGTTATCTATTGCAGTAATTAAGGCAATATGGTGGTAGCGTAGCCTAGGATTATGGCCACGGAAATGGAGTGAGGTAGGTTGATTTCAGAGATATTTTGTAGGTTTAATTTGCTTAACTGACAGATTGGATGTGGTAGGGGATGAGAGAGAGGAAGTAATAAGAAAGAACAAGTGAAATAAAGAGAGCTTGGTGTCGAAATTAAACCAGGAAGTGGTGGCTGTTTTCTTCCCCCAACAGTCACTCTGATACCAGGGTGAGGTCACCATGACAAAGACAGCTTTGGGCAGTCCCACTGTGAGTTGAGTCTTCTATTGGAGCAAATGACTAGGACATGACAATGAAACCAGGGTGTGTATATGTGTGTCTTCGTTGTGGCCAAGTCTTCGTTCTGTAATCACGTAGCTGGTGTAATCTCACTAGTGCGCTCTATACAGCTGATGATGTCCCTGCTTCAAGGAATACAGAACTAAGAAAGGGAAAAAATAATATACAACAGTAGAAAAGGCAAACCCATGAATGAAAAATAACACCGTCAAGTAAACGAACCAGTTAAGTATTTCACATTGGTGAAGATAAGTTTTAAGAATCCTGTGCCTTTTTTCATTTTATTAAACTTTCTTTTTGTTACAGTAACCTCTGTGGTATTTCTATAACACCTGTCAGAGAGAAAGAGTTTTATAAATAATATCTGATGTCATTTTACTTATAGTTATTGACTTAAAATATAACTATATTATAAGCAATGTATTTGCTTATTAAACTGCCATCAACTCCAACATGTATCTGCTAACATCAACCCCTCCCTCACAGTAATAATCTTAGATATCCATTAAAATCTTATAGTTTTAACTGTCATATGGCCTGGGAAATTATGCTTCTCTCCCTATGCTTTTGAAGGTACAGCTATCTGTGGCTTGGCTCCAAAGACTTAGGGAACACTGGCCA